AAATGAGTGTAAAGAACTGTTGTGAAGTGAGTCAAAGGCTAGAGGAAATTCCTCACAGTGAAAGACTTTAAGAGGTAGTTTATTTATTTTGTCAACATAGAGCCTGAGTGGAATATTAACTACAGTACATAGCTGTCTTCATGGATACAAAAAAAAAAAAAAATCAGTATTAATGATCTCTGTGATCCAGAAGTATAAAAAAATTCAAATGAGAAGGCTCATGTTTTAACTTTGCATGAAATGTAATTTTCAAGAAACCACCCACAAAGAAAATTAATGTATTCCTTTTTTTTCAGTTTTCATCTTCATTATTTCAGATGTTATAACTTGGTAGCACTTCTTTTTTTCTATTCAGATAAAAATCAATATACCTCTGTGCCATCAATAAAAATGTTTATCTTAAAGTTATAAATATTAGAATATGTATTCATTAAACACAGAAAAAATGAAGCAATTATGTGATTTTGGTTACATGACTATTAATTATCACTTGGGCAGAAACTTAATTTTTATTATATTTTCTAGGAAAAAATGTAAGTTTCTAAAGAGATTTTAGGACTAAGAGGCTGGGGAGGGCTGGAAATAAGCTCCTTCTCAGAGGAAATAGAGGCAAAGTCATGTACTTTCCAGTTTGAATGTTAATTTATGGGAGAATCCTTGAGAGTCTGATAAAAAAGTTAATGGGCTTTCTCCCTGGCAGATCTCCTTAGAAAGTCTGCTGAATATCCATTGGGAACTTCAATCATTCTTCTAACTGTATTTTTAAATTGGTGTTCTTGAAATATCTCGGTAGAGAAGATATTCTGTATTAACTTGTGTAGTTATGACAATAATTTCTGAAGAAGTCTACTGGTATAATCTTTATTAAACCCTACAAAAATTTTTCCAGCAGATCTTAACTATGGTTGAAATCTTCTCAGCTTGTGCATAACTTTACATAATTTTACCTTCTTCATGATGTGCGGAGAGGAGTCAGGCGCTCAGTTTGCCTCCCTGGGGACGGGCGCGTTGCTGGTCGGGGACACCCGGGGTGGTGATGTGCCCCAGCTGAGCAGCCCTGTGGTGAGCCCTAGCCTCCTGCACGGGACACAGCTGGGGGGACCACAGTGCAGAGGTCTCCCAGGACACACGCCGGTGTGCCTCTCTCTCTGAAACGAAGTCACGCGTGTGGGGATGTAGCTGGGTGATAGGCCTTGGTGCTTGGAAAAGCTGGGAGATCCTCAGGTTAGAAAAGGCCATTGCTAGTGCCCTCTCCTTTCTAACCCAGCCCCCAGGAGTTGCACCTAAACACCCTTTCCTGTCTTCACAAAAGATTTTCAGTGTTACTCTGCAAGGGAGCATTTAAAAGTTTAATGGGGAGTGCAACGGGCATGATTTGGGGGGCTCCTAGCTCCTCCTGACTTCCAAAGCCAGCAAACTCCAGCCAAGTAAATGCGCCTGCCAGAGAGCACGGCTGTCACCTCAGCAAGCCAGCCTTTGCCCCCAGCAAGGGATGCCAGGGGTGCCAATGCTATCGATGTTCATCGTGGTTTGACCCTTCTTCTGGAAGCTGCTATGGAGAGATAGAAGCAAAAACGCTGCAGGTCTCCATGCCACCCCGGGTGCATCCTCGATCTGCCTTTCTGTATTCTGTTTGGCCAACAACCTGGCTCATAACCTGTTGTTTCAGGTCAAAATCACTATAATGGAACCTAAGGGAAATAACAGACCAGCTCTGGCTCCTGGAGGTGTTCTGCCTATATAGAGGACTGCCTTTTATGGCTCTTGGGAAAATGACAACAGGCAAGGTGGAAGCATATGTGCAATGCTGTTGAAACCTAAAAGAGAGTGGTGGTGGAATGGCAGAGGAAAGCATCCATATCCTCTGAAGCCTCGGGTTTAGTCACAGCTTTGCTTGTGCTGCTATATTAGATAAAACTCTAGTAACAATATTGTCCATCCACTTTTAAAATTCATACTGCAGTACTTGCCCCAGTGACCTCCTGCAGCAGTGCAATACACCAGTTAATGAAACACTGCATAAAGAAACATCAAATAAAAAAAAAACAAAACCTCTTTTGGACTAAGGATGCAAGAAAACAGGGCTGTGGCATCATTGCAGGTTCACAAGGGGTTCAGGCTGACATTTTTAAACTTGAAGCGATAACTACAGAGTTGTAGCTGTCTTTTAGTGTGAGGTAAGACTGTTTTTGGTGTTAGATTCTGTAACACACAAGCTGGTGGCTGAAGGAAAGGCCCCTTCAGCCCCAGGAGTTGAAAAACAACTTGCATCTCTGTCAGTCTGTTTTTTCTGGAGAGGGCAGGAGACACTTTTCTACCCCTGTGACTCTCTACACTCTGGGTACCAGGGTCCCTATTGACCAAGAAGTGACCGGAGAGTAAAAATGATTAATGAAGCAAGTTCTCCCTTTTTACCTCACAGTGAAGTTCTGGATTTAGGCATGTTTCTATAGTAACAATAATGTCTTCAGAAGAATTTGTTGGTTTATCTCCTGGATTAATTCTATGGAGCCTTACAATATCTGGAATTTAAAACATCGTTTTGCCCGACAGAAGGCAGATTGTTGTTTCCCTCATAAAGGACCACCAAAACTAAAGAATGTTTTGACTAACATTTAATATTACTAAAATAGGACATTTTTATAATTCTGTAATGCCAACAAACACCCCAAACCAACCCTCCTCACCCCAAAATAACTAAGCATGGGAGGAATAACTGTGAAATATGCCTATAGGAGTGGGGGGAGGGATTGGTCTTTTTCATTCTGTAAAGTATGGCAACGTCTCATGACAAGAAAAACAAGAAAAGGTGCTTTTTCTCAAAAGCAATCATAATTAAACCATTCCATACATTCTAGAATACCATATAGTATCTCTTTTATAGGATGCAGGTTCTGACAAACAATTTTCTTGTCTGCAGGTGCATTTGTGCAGATGTTTAGGAGCAAGTATTTTTATGTCAACATGATATACAAGCTGCTTGAACTTCCAGAAACACTCTGACATTCTTTTGTATTGCCCTGACAACAGAATCTCACACAATGCATTCCTTCACAATGGCTGTTTGCAAGGGGTCCTCCACACTTTCAGAAGGACCCGTGTATTTCAGAGTCAGTCTCTGCATTGTGCTGAAATTACTTTCTGGAATGGAGGTTTAATTCTTTCCATTTATTTTATTTTATTTTAAAAGAATAAAGATTTCTTTTTCTAAATATGAGCTCCATGCCTTTTTTCCCTGTCTGAAGAGATCTTTAGGGCAGAAGATGCACTAAACCATCCTACTTTTTGGTAAGTTTTATGCTAAGGGTCCCTCCAGTACTTTGACTATGAACATCAAGGGTCAGTGCAGTTTACCTGCCCGGAATGTATGAGTTTGATCTATTGATCTATGTGACACCCTGTGCCTTTGCAGGGTAAGGTCTGGTACACTCCTGAGGCCCTCTGGACTGGCCCTAAGAATCCTAGCAGGACACACTCCCTCAAACCTGAAGCATTTTGAAATGTTTGCAACTGGGGGGGAGGGGGCAGGGGGGGGAAGGGGCCCGGAGAGGAGCTATTTTTAAAAATGTTGGAGACTATTCTGGCCTTTATTTTAGAAACTGGACCAAATCTGGGCATGGTGCTGGGCAACCTGCTCTAGTAGACCCTGGTTGAGCAGGGAAGCTGGACTAGATGATCTACAGAGGTGCCTCCCAACCTCAACGATTCTGTGACTGGAGGGTTTTATTTTCTGCTTTACCTGCTGCCTTCTGCAGCACCGTTCCCATGCATCTCAAAGCTGTAAGACCAGGCCAAGACTTCTTGTTACACATGCTCATTTTGTGCAGTGCTGGCCACAGGGGACAGAAGCTTGTCAGCTAGCAGGAGGCAAGGAGAAACACAGAAAGACATTACAGAGGATGTGCAAAAGTCACCAGAGAAAACACAGTTCTCATTATCTGGGGAGAGGTAACACCCAGCAGGCTGCAAGGTGAGCATCATTGCTGTGGCAGATGGGCTGTGAGCTGCTGTGGGACCTCATGCCCACTCTCCACGTGGCCCTGGGGCGGTTGTGCCATCTTTTGCTCCTGCAGGGATCTGAAGCGGATAGAGGACAGGCTGAGGTGGCTCACTGGGTGGGTTTGGGAAGTCTGCCAGTGAGATGCAGAATCCTCTGATGTCCTAGAACCCGCTAAAACACTACTGAGCTCTTCTCTATCTCCAGTTTTCAGTATCTCACATCTGTTGATTTATACACCTAAACAGATACATACACAGATAAACATATAGATTTTACCAACTTGAAAAAAACACTTGGAAAAAACCCTAGGAATAAGCATTACTAAACAATTTAATGGAATATTAACACACATCACATTTTCACTATTATTAATCAAGTATATTGAACTTTCAAAGAAACACAAAGCACTGAGAAAGGTGTAGTGTCTGAACACAAATAGCAGGCAATAGTGCCTGAACACAGGGAGATCCTGAAGCATGTGAAAGGAGCAGCTACAAGTGCAATATACTCTAGGATTTTCTGCATTTTGTACTCTCTAAATACTTTCACTTATGCTCTGAAAATAGTGTCAACCTGGGCAAGCAAATACTGTCACAACGAGTGTTAAGAAACAAGTAACCTGGGAAAGTGAAGAAATAAAAAGTAGTTCACTGCACAGGAGCACCTGTGGATATAACAGATGTCAATGTAATGGCTCCTACACATGGAACCAAGTATCTTTGCAGGGGTGATTTTGCAGCCATACGATCTTGGGAATGACTTTGTGTAAGAGAACTTGGAACTATTTGTCCTGGTTTTAAATCTTTTTCTCTGTAGAGTTTTCAGGATAATGCTGAGAGACTGACAATCACATTTACATCACCTCACAGAAAAGAGAATTTCTGCCATGATTTTGATTATTGCTTCCAAATATGTGCAACTGTCATGTCAATGTGCTACTTGTTTCTAAGCTGGCAATGCGCAGGATTTCAGTCTAATAAACAGTATTCTTCCTTTTCAGATCCACATTTTTGGTATTTGAACCCAGGTACATAACAACTGAAAAAAGAAGACTGAAGACATGTTGAAAACTGGTACAAAGACTGAAGCCTCCATCTGTTTCTTCATACAGTTTGAGCAGTATGTCCCAAGGCTTTGGATTTTCCAGCTTCAGCATCTTTTGTGTCAGAGTTCATAAAATAGGCTGAAAAATTATATTTCTTCTCAGCATTTTTACTGAACTGGAATACACTTGAAATTTTCTTATCTCCTAAAAGAAAGTTGCTATAGAAGGTGTGTGTTATTTTTCTGTATGTAAGAGACATTGCTATAGCTATATTTTACTTTGGAGAAGTGGAGGGACAACTTCACAATGACCGTGCATAATACAATATTCACACTGATACGGGTAGAAATCTTAAGTATCAGTGAAATCCTAGAAAATGGGCAGAGATCATATTTCTTCCTGAGAAAATAGTCTATTTTTATTTGAAGACTGTTACTTGCTTTTACTAGTATTCGTAAGAGTATTTAAGCATTCACTGTTCAATATGTATGTTCTCATACTGCCTGAAATAAAACCAGTGCTCTCCAAAGGATGGGTTGTGATTAGGTGTGCAAACCAAGGCAAAGTGCTAATAATACATGTTAAAATATCTCTAGGCATTTCTTTGGGATGAATCAGAATTGATGTGGGCAGTAAGAATCTTTTTATGCAGCGTCCCCACTTCTACTTAGACCAAATGCTGGTTACTTGAGCCAGGAGAGTCTTGCTTTTCAGCACTTCTCTTCCATAGGTCCATTTGCAACTTTGTGAAAAGTTATGTTTTTTTCCCTCAGGACTATCCTAGCTGAGTGTTGGGTCAAACAAACACTTTGGAAGGGTATCCCAGCTGCTCTCCAAATAGCAAACATCCCAACTCACTTTCTCCTGAAATCTGCTGGAATCTGCTTTGAGTCTGGCTCTAACTGAATTCACACCAGCCTCTGAGGGAGCAGTAAGCTAAACTATCCTGCCTATTTTAAGGCATTAAAAAGCAAAATGCTGGGATTGTTAAGCCATTAAGTAAACCAGTGCCAAAGTGTACGACCAGCTCAAGGTTTTCAAACTGCCAACATCACATGCAAAATAAAGGACTATGCTGCCTTTGTTACCGGTGTCATTTTAATATAACTCTTCCTTGTCACAAGACTTTTCATGAAAACAACCCTTTATTCAAATAGCATTATCTGAGGGAGGATGAAGTTAGAAAGCTGTGACAGACTTAAGTAAAAAAAAGAAAAAAAAAGTAATATTATCAAAAGCAATTTTGTGTGACTCATTCAGTTATTTCATGCCTGTATAAGCCCATACTTGCATTGCATGTTTTCATTGATTTTCATCATATAAAAATAATACTTAATTTTGAGTGTAATGTGTTCTGCATAAGACAGAATGATATTTAAAAGTATAATGGTAATCATCTGCCTATAGCACAGAATATTATACTTGGATGCATTTTATTGTCTTTCTTCATGGTAGTCTCTGAAGCAGCAGCAGGAATTCGGAGACGCAGTAAAATCCTCCAAGCAAGAAATAGAATAGATGAAGAATTTGACTGGCATATCCTGGCCAGTGCAGGTTTCATTTTTTGATTAAGCACAATTTAATTCATTTTTGGACTACTTAAGTGGCAGTGACTGTTCGGTATGGGAAGGTGAGACATTACACCTAAAGTCATTATACACCAGAGAGTATGTAGGAATAGAGGGTTGGAAAGAAAAGCGTTTGGAAATCAAGAATTGGGAGAATTAACATTGCCCTGGCAGCCTTACCATGGTGTGTTTATATACACACTTTATTGTGGGCTGTGGCATGTGTTCATAGGCAGCACTCTGCACAGGACCTTCCTCTTTCAAATCACACAATGGAGCTGCTCATGGAGTGAGTCAAGGCTGTGCAAGGAAAAAGGACTGAAATCAACTCCTGTGCCTGTTGTATCAATTGGAAAGCACACAGTGGATGAATCAGAAAGGATGAGCTCACAGCTAAGGCAGATTAATGCTGCCCAGGGTACAATTCTTCTATCACTGCCTCAGCCATAGATGACTCTGTGAAGTGCCACACGTCACCCACCGTAACTCTGCACGCGCTAATAAGCTGCACTTGGTGTGATCTGGGGGTCAATTTGCCCAAGGGCTGAGCTGCAAAGGGTGGTAGCACACCCGGCACCGCGTGCTCAAACAGCCAGGCTGGCCACAGTCACACTGACCCCTCACTGCTTCAAGCTGGAAAAACCCTGCGTGCCATAATGTGCAGAGGTCCCTCTATATTCAGGATTGCCCTTCCACGTTTCATCCAGTTTATATTGTGAACATGAAGACCGCAATGCTTATAGATTAGAGCTCTCTAACACCACGAAAATACAAATTTCCACATTGAAGGCACTGATGTAAGCGGTATGGAGGAGCTGCTATAGCTGCTAGCTGTTTTGTTTTGCCCAAACAACACTTTCTAATCTAGCCTGGAGCCAGCAGTAGAATGAAAAGTACCCTTAAATTAGACCTTAGTTAATTTTCTTCAGCTGTTTTCCAGCCTCAGTAGCCTCTGTGCTGCTAGAAAAATGCATTCGGATACTGCTATTTTGCAAGCTGAACACCAATGTATAGGAAGCCTTGGCTTTGTGACGGACTGTGAAATTATAATACTGTCATGTTGTCTACGGATGCCTTAACATAGTCATTATCTTAAAACAATACTTTAAATGATACTTTGGGGGAAGATATGGGGGGATGTGCAATACCAAATTGCACACAGATCTTCAAGCTACAAGATCTGTACTGCTCACCTGACAAAGTCATGCCAGACACTGCATTTTCTTCCACGATCCCCTGCTCCATACAAGCTCTGCTCCAACCTCCACTGACGTCAGTGGGCTTTAGCCCACATCGCAGAGGGTGCGTAAGGTGGCTTTGTATAAACTGCAAGTCAAACTGGTATCTAGATAAAGACAAATTACACTTGAATCTTCTTGATTAGCCTTAACCTGATTCAGAAAGGAAAGACTGTGCCTTCATATGTAGCTTTTCCTGGTACTACTTTCTCATAAGCCTTTTTGAGACTGTGCACTCTCCAGCTTTCCTGAATGCACTCCATATTTCCAAGAAAGGTGAGTCTTTCAAGCAAATGGGAGGCAATGATCTTATTTTAGGGACAAGAAAGCAGAAGAAGATATGAAAGCTGACTAAAAACCTGGTTAAGCAGACAGATTAGAGTTCACAGTTCCTTACTTATTTATTTGAACCCAAGTACTTAATGTGAACATTGTCATCTTGTTTTAATTCAGATAACAGAATTCATATAAATTTTTTAAAAAATAACTTTTATAAGCAACAAAAATATTTAAGAGTCCAGTTGACAATATTATTATTTTAATAATCACAATAAATTTAGGAAACAAAGCGGTTTTGTTGTAGCAGAACAATCCTATTTGTTTCAAATCATGGAACAGTTTCAGGCCAGACTAACTTTACTAATTTACTGCAGTTGAAACTAAGTTGGCTGTCCAAAGTCTATGCTGTTGAAGCATGCACTAGCAGAGACAGAGCTTTAAAACCCACGTATATCACAGCCTACAACGTGTGAAAGATGTATCAGTAATATTCATTCATGGGAAGGGCAGAAATCTAAACTACATCATTGGTTTCACTTCAGAGTGTTCAGAAAAGTTAGAAGTTCTATTTTGATTTTAAAGTTATTCTTAATTGCAAACACTTTCATTTGATAAACAATTTTAAAAATATTTTTTATCCTTGCAGAATATTGTATGTATAATATTAATAGAAATCTTTACAGATATTTAGCCAGCTTTCAATAAGCTTTTGTTTTGGAGGGCACAGATTCACCAACCAGGTGAATTACACAACCAGGTCCTGCGTGTTGCAAACAATTAATGCTCCTAGTAATTCACGTACTATGTAAGCTGTTACTTCTTCAAGCTCATGCAGTGCCTTGATTGTTTGTTCAGTGTAAGTTTGATAATCCTAAAAGCTGCAGTATAATCAGACAAAGAGCAACAGCAAATCTTTTTCAGACTCTTAAAATATATACAGTAGTACAAAGACAGATGTGAGTTTTATTCCAAATTATTTTTCTCTTCCTGTGTAGATCCTAAGATGACTAACCACAGAAAATTTTTTAGTGTTTTCCTTGAACCTACCAACCATTCAAGACTGTACCCACTGCTGTCTCTGGGATTTTTAAAGTAGCAAATGGGATTGAAATTGCTGGTCAGAGTGCATTGTCTGGCACATGGCCGAGCCCAGAGCCTGGCGCGCTCAGAGCACTGCATCTGGCAGCAGGAGATAAGACAGTCACTGCGGGGTAAGAAGCTCTTTACACCCAGGTGTCAGAAGAGTCTTCCTGCGTTGAACTTGGTCTTCTTCCCTGGCTGATGTTCCGAAAGCCAAGCAGGGATTAAGACAGGTTTCCTCGGGCAGACACTGTCATCACGTCCCGTAGTGCCCACGAGTGCAAAAGTTCTCACTGCAGCAACAGTTTTGCTTCTCTGGATGTCCCGGCATCACCTGCCTCTCTGGACCACACCACACACCACACCTCTATGGAGCGACCTCCCGTGTTACCTACACTGCAGGAAGGGAAGCACCTCTTGTCGTACGATCCCATCAATATAATGTTTGGACCCTACTGCAGCAGATATACGTACAAGACGGTACAATGCAGTTGTAATTATGACTAAAGGGGTCAGATCTTCCAGATACACCTATTACATTACAAGCACGCCTGGAATTTGATCTACCCAACACAAAATGTCCATTGCTAACAGTGTGTAGCTAATCTGCGCTGGCAAGCTGTCACTGCAAAGAGACTGTTCATGTAGATGGCTATTGCAACAGTGCCATGGCAAGCTCTGCAGGGAGTATGAGAAAAGCAATTTTGTCCTTCGTGAAGGTGCTGGCCAAAAGAAATAACCATCCCAGAAGACACACAATCAGCAAGAAGACAGCAACTGGCATAACTCTGCACATTTGAACACTGCATCAAAATACCAGTCAACTCATGAGAAGAGAAATACCTCAGCTGTAGCAGAACAGCACTGTATTTGCAGCTCAGGCAACAACTGCAGCATAACATTTACCAGAGACGCACTAACCCTGAGGCAAAGCTAAAGTATAGAGATGTCATTTTGCTATGCATTGATAAGGGGAAAAATACAGCTAAGCTGGGCTTGCCAGGAGGTTTTGGTCAAGCGTATCAGTGGCTGTATTGACTGAGTAGTGAGTCCAGTTGCTAGGTTTTTAATTACTCCCTGGTACCCAGTTTAGGGTCCTGAAGTATAAAATCTAACACGATGAGAAGACTTAACAGGGCTTCTGGGCAGGCAGGTCTCGCTCAGCTGGTAGGGGTTTTCTACAAGACATCACAGAGCCATGTTGAACTACTGTGTGTGTGACCCGAGCTCTTCTGCAAAACTGCTCAAGACTCACATACCCAGATGGGCTTAGATTAATACATTTTGCTCTCTCACAGCTGTTTACAGCTTCTGAGGCTAGAGGAGACAATAAAACAAAGGAGACTGAAGATCTGAAATATGGTAGGCAACCATGGCTACCTCTAGTGGGGATTAGAGCCAATTTGTACAGAAATGCTCTGT